TGAGATTTTTATTGAATAACGATCTCTTTTCTTTGTAGTATATAATGTTTTAAAAATGACAACTATGCCAACCATTACAAATATGATATTATTTAAGATAATTAAAGTTTATTATGAATTCAAGTAATTTGACTTGAAGAATAAAGCATTTGAGCAACACATTGATGAGATACGTTCTCCACAAAAAAAAATTGTAAGCTCCTCTATATATTTATCACATTGGGCACACTCAATTAACCACTAATTTTTTCTTAAGTAATTGAAATAAATTACATTATTATGAAAAAAGAATTAGAATCAGATCATAGAAGTTTCAGTTAATGCATACATATAGATAATATACGTTGTGAGAATAAGAGTACCTCTTATAAAAATTGGAACAAATTTGTCCTCTCATATTTTCTTCTAAAGGAAGGACCAAATCAACATTAGAGTATTAACATGTTAGATATTGTATCATTTAAGTCACGTATTTTGATATTAAGCTTTTATCTACGCTTTATGTTCATAGTTTTTTATTTTATTTTATTTTATTTTATGGTTTGTGATCCAATATGGCATATTTCATTTTTAGAACTTTATAAATGTTAAAAGGACATCATAATATACTTTGAAAAATAACAAATAGCATTTATATTCATTGATTTTATCAAGATATTTGAATACGAATTTGTAAACAGACAACAAGATTCTGGTAGGAAATCTATTTGTAAAAGACTTTCAATACTTAAGTTAATAAAAAAATTTATAAACTTTATAAAATAGGTATGAATAATATATTTCTTAAAAAAAAAATACTAGTTATATTTATAAAATTAACATAAAGTACAAGATATGTTTTATAATTTAAATAAACATAAATTAAGATTTCAAATAAACATAAATTTAAATCGTTCCATAATAAAGATATGTTTATTATTATTTGACAAATCCAGTCAAAAAAATAATTATCTTTAATTAAAGAATACATCATATAAATCTCTTTAGTCTATTATATACCATACATATAATCTAATGTACAATGTAGACTATACTTCAATTGTACCTTAAAAAATGTTTATCTATGTAATGAAAGTAAGATCTTTAACTGCACCCTTATGCTTCACTCTGTAATGTTATGTGCAAGATGACAGTACTGCAGTGGGACCCCTTAAGAATGGGTACTGTATTATTCTAGTTATGAAGCAACAACCCACTTAGGAATTATGGTGCACCTTAAATATAAGAATAATTTTGAATCTACCATATTACAATTTAATGTTGTTTAATTGCATAAATTCTTGTAAGAAGTATATTTGAAGGTAGGTGGGTTTTACTTATTGTGTTCGGTGGTGGTGCATTAACAAAACCAAACCACCGACGAGCAATAACCAGAGGCATGACTAAATTGCTGTCGTTTTATCCCATTATATTCAATGTCTTTTTCAATGTAAGTGGGTTTAAAACTTCTTAAATTTAAGTATCATATGTTCTGTATAAAATTCCTATTTCAAAATAAAGATACAAAATAATCACAAATATAATCTTTAACAACTGTCGTCATCACTTACATTAGTGGTAACAATAAAATTATTTTTATCAATGATGAAATATGTAAACTATCATGCTAATTTTGTCACTACAATAAATTTTATTCAGTTATTTATATTAAATTCTAATAAATAAATATAATTACAGTTAGATAATTAAATTATTCTTATATACAATGTTCATTTAGTTTTCTAAGAAACTATATTGTGAGATGGAGATCATGAATAACATATTTGTTATTCTGTTGTTTCATATCTTTAATTATTTATTTAAAAAGATGCAAGAACTTTCCAGTAACCATACAAAGTGTTTGAAGAACGTTTTCTCTTATAAACATTGAATATTTTTCTTCTTCCACTTCTTGATCAAATTATCTCTAAAGGTTTCTTTCTTTCCCCTTTGTCTAAAAAGTAAATTTAAGTCCTAAACTTCAAACCTTAAATTCTAAATAACTCTAAATAGAGGTTTTCGAATTAAATATTAGAAAAATAAAAATAAATTTATTTTGATATTGATGATAATATGTTATGAATTTGGTGATTATTTATTTGAAAGAAAGAAGTCGGTCCATGTTTTTAAATGCATGTTGGGGTTATGGTTGTGCATGAGTGATAGAGAGGGGTTGTCTCTGTGAGAAGAAATTAAATGGAAGTCACGAGGGAATTGATTTCTGAAAAATATTTATATTGGATTCACCTACCCCTGCAAACTCTGCATATAAATTTTAAGCATTTGGTGGAAACCATTTGCAACTCTACCAACTTGATTAATTTACATTCAAAACATTGGCAACCATGGCAGGAGCCTTACCGTATCACAGTCTGCAATCTGATGCACATTGCTTCCTCAGTGTGGCATTTCCACTAAGTTTTTTATACACATTGCACGCAAACTTTCTATTATAACGTGGATTTTGGATGTTTGGTAGGACGCAAACAACCTTCCAATTTTCCATCTCTTTACATACTTTCACAACACTTAACCACCAACATCACAACTCTTTTTCATAAACAAACTCACTTATCTGATTTGAAGAATGTTAAAAAACTAATACCTGATATATTTTGAAGATATTAATGTTAAAATTGTATACTTAGAGTCGTAGACTCAATTAAGGTTGTGTTTGTTTTGAAGAATCAATTTGGAAAAATCAATTTGAGAAAAAATAAAGTTGAGAAGAGCTTATTTACTTTAAATGAAATAAAATACTTTAAAGAAAACTATTTTTGAATACAAATATTTGAGATGAAAGTTAGTGAATAATATAATATATTTGATAAATTAAAAATTATTATAAAGTTTTAATGCATAAAAATATTATATTTTAATACATAAACATTATTTTATTTAATTAATATTAATTCTCTTGTCAATCTTCCTATATAGCAATAAAATTCAATCTTCCTATATAGACCATATTTCAAATAGGTTTGTGAGCTTTTTTTTTTTCATGCTAGGGCAAACTTTTATGGAGACTATATAGACTAAATTTGTTGCTAATGATTTTTTTTTTTTAAATTCGTTAATAAATTTATTGATAATTAAATTTTTTGAAAACCTGATAATAATTTAATTTTTAAAAATTCATCAATAAAATCATTAGTTATGTTTTTCAGAATATATTAGTGATTCTGTCAATAAATTTGTTGATAAAGCATATATTATTTTTTTTTTGTTAAATTTGATGAAAAATGTGTTGTACAAATGAAGATAATTGAGATAAGGACGAAGGAAAATTAAAAATGGAGACAATTGAGAGAGGAAGGTAGAGAAACAGAGGAGGAGGAGAAAGAAAAGGAAGAGATAGTGGTATTGACACCAATAATAATTATTAAATTATTTAGTAAATTATTTTACCACTTATCAAAATATTTTAAATAAAATATTTTTTAAATTAAATAATAAATTACCTTTTCCTAATTATTATAATTTTCTAGAGTCTTACATCAAAATGCTGAAAGTAACAACGTCAATGGACAGATAAAAACGATGTGTAAGAAGAAGATAAAGAAAAAAAAAAGAAAAAAAAGAAAAAAAAGAAAGGAAATAAAGAAAAGAAGAGAAGGAAAAAAGAAACCAAATTACAATATTTATTAATGAAATTTTTTTATCAGTAATTATTCATAAATATTTACTGATATATAAATACTAACAAATTTAGATTGTTTATAAATTATTCATAAATTTTTAACCATCAATAATTATTAAATAAATTTTTTATTTGTTGATATTTTATCAACAAACTTTTAATTGACAGTGATTTTATTTTGTCGACATATTTTTGTTAGTATTTCAGATTTATTTTAATGTTAATTTTGTCTTTTTCAAAAGTTTGTGATTTTAAAGGTTAGTCCATATTGAAGGAACCTTTGTATGCAATAAAAAAAACCGATAAACTAGTTACATGTAAAAAAAAATATGTTTTAACATTTTTCTGGGAAGTTAAAAGATTTTAATTTATCGAATTAAATTATTTATTTATCCTTTTTGTAAATATAAAATCACATAAGCGATAGTTTAATTTGTAGATAAAGTATACTTTAAATAGTTAGTTTTATATTTTAAATTTGTTTAGAACTCTTATAATTTTAAAGATAAAATACTCTACAAAAAGTAGAAGAATAAGATAAATAGAATATAATTAAAATTAATAGAGAAATACGAAGCAAACAATTATTAAAATAAATGAAATAGACAACAAATTATGAGTTTTTTTTTTTTTATTAAATCTGCTATTAAAAGTGTGGACTACGGACCCATGAAAAATGATCGTATGTTGGAGTAGAGTATTGAATGTGGATGATGCACGTATAAAATTGACGAACTATTACACCATTCACTAGTTACTTTTTCGTATAGGTTTATAGTATATATAGTTGCGATCGACTTCAAGATAATGACATTAATGTGTTTTCATTTTGGTGGAAAAGAACATCCTGTTGGAGAGTATGCTCGTAAGATGTTTACCAGAATTTAAAGTTTTTTATTGCTCTCTTCCCATACACTAAATAACAAAACAGTCAACCTATTAATTCAACGTAAAGACATAAAAACAGAGTTTTCAGTTTTTGGCACTCAAAAAATATTCACCAGTAGTAACGTAGATGATGCATAGATAGGGGAACTTGGAATCTACAAAGATTGGCGTCCAACTCATGTGCATTAACTCAACACCAAAAGGTGATACCTAAATAGCTCAATACAAGAATGATATGATTCCAAAGGGAGCAAATTTTGGCTTCTAGCATCATCAACAACACAAGATGTATGTTGAAACAAACAACAAACACCAATAGCGTATCTTCTTCTTATCTGTCCCAAACTACCTTCTAATGGTTGTTAGTTACATACTTTTTACCACCACTTGCGTGATCATCTATCTATAAGTCTCCTCCATTTTGCTTCCTGCACCATTCTGTACTGAAATTACAACCACCGCACACCATGTGTTTGTACTTAGGTTGGTTAATCTTGGGTTAAGAATTTATGAGTGGAAAATAGTGGAAGCCGCCGGAAAGAATGTGAGTAGTGTGTGTCGTGTCGTAACAAGGATAGAATAAGTAGTAGACAGTGTGATTTGGTCGGGGTCTCACAAGTGTCATCTTTGGTGCCAACTCAGCAAGTAGCACCTCTCCCTTTCACCGTTTCCCATTCGAATAAATTGAGGTCTCACTTCACTCCACTCCACTCCCACACTCACCACACTACTCTGTGTCGGAGAGGCAAGCCAAGAATGACCCAACCACTCCCCATCGTCGTTTACGTTCTGTTATCGGTAGTAGCTTTCGTATCGTGTCTCAACCAAGAGGGGCTTTACCTTTACCAACTCAAGCTGTCTCTCGACGACCCTGATTCTACTCTCTCCTCCTCCTGGAACCCCAGGGACGCCACCCCTTGCAACTGGTATGGTGTAACCTGCGCCGGCGATGCCTCCAACACCACTGTTACAGAATTGGACCTTTCCGACACCAACATCGGAGGCCCATTCCCTGCCAACATCCTCTGTCGTCTCCCCAACCTCCTCTCCATTAACTTCTTCAACAACTCCATCAACCAAACCCTCCCTCTCGACATCTCCCTCTGCCGCTCTCTCCGCCACCTCGACCTCTCCCAGAACCTCCTCACCGGTCCCCTCCCCGCCACGCTCCCGCTTCTCCCCAACCTCCGCTACCTCGACCTCACCGGCAATAACTTCTCCGGCCCAATCCCCGACTCCTTCGGAACCTTCCAGAACCTCCAGGTGCTCTCCCTCGTCTCCAATCTTCTAGAAGGTACCATCCCCCCCTCGTTGGGCAACGTCTCCTCTTTGAAAATGCTCAACCTCTCTTACAACCCCTTCTTCCCGGGTCGGATCCCTCCGGAGCTCGGCAACCTCACCAACCTCGAGGTTCTCTGGCTCACCCAATGCAACCTTGTCGGCGTCATTCCGACCTCCCTCGGGAACCTCAACAAGCTCCAGGACCTCGACCTCGCGCTCAATGACCTCTACGGCTCCATCCCGAGTTCGCTCACTCAGTTAACCAGCCTCACGCAGATCGAGTTGTACAACAACTCGCTCTCCGGGGAGTTCCCTCGGGGAATGGGGAATCTCACCCGCTTGAGGCTCCTCGACGCCTCCATGAACCACTTAACGGGGAAGATTCCCGACGAGCTTTGTTCTTTGCCGTTGGAGAGTCTTAATTTGTATGAAAACCGTTTCGAGGGAGAGTTACCGGCCAGCATTGCGGATTCCGAGAATCTTTACGAGCTTCGACTCTTCGGTAACCGCCTCACCGGCAGGTTACCGGCGAATCTTGGCAAGAATTCGCCGCTCCGGTGGCTGGACGTTTCGAGCAACCAGTTCTGGGGGCCTATTCCGGCGACGCTCTGTGATAATGGTGTTCTTGAGGAGCTTCTGGTGATTTATAATCTTTTCTCTGGGGAGATTCCGGCGAGCTTAGGCACGTGCCAGAGCTTGACACGTGTGAGACTAGGATTTAACCGGTTGTCCGGCGAGGTTCCCGCCGGCATCTGGGGGCTTCCGCACGTGTATCTTCTCGAGCTTGTCGACAACTCGTTTTCGGGTTCCATTGCGAGGACCATTGCGGGTGCCGGGAACTTGTCGCTGTTGATTTTGTCGAAGAATAACTTCTCGGGAACGATTCCCGATGAGGTTGGGTGGTTGGAGAATCTCGTGCAGTTTTCCGCCAGTGATAATAAGTTCACTGGCTCGCTTCCTGATAGCATTGTGAATCTTGGGCAGCTTGGGATTCTCGATTTTCATAATAACAGACTCTCTGGCGAGTTGCCGAAAGGGATTCGTTCGTGGAAGAAGCTCAACGATTTGAATTTGGCCAACAATGAGATTGGTGGTACGATTCCTGATGAGATTGGGGGTTTGTCCGTGCTGAACTTTCTAGATATTTCTAGCAACCGCTTTTCCGGGAAAGTCCCCCACGGGTTGCAGAATCTCAAGCTGAATCAGCTTAACTTGTCTTATAATCGTCTGACGGGTGAACTTCCCCCTCTCTTGGCTAAGGATATGTATAGGTCTAGTTTCCTTGGTAATCCTGGCTTGTGTGGAGATTTGAAGGGCTTGTGTGATGGTAGGGGTGAGGCAAAGAATGTAGGTTATGTTTGGCTGCTTCGAGCGATTTTTGTTGTAGCCACTTTGGTTTTCCTTGTAGGCGTGGTTTGGTTTTACTTTAGGTATAAGAATTTCCAGGACGCCAAGAGGGCGATTGATAAGTCAAAGTGGACGTTGATGTCGTTTCATAAACTGGGTTTTAGTGAAGATGAGATTTTGAATTGTCTTGATGAGGATAATGTGATAGGAAGTGGTTCCTCGGGTAAGGTTTACAAGGTTGTGCTTAGCAGTGGGGAGGTTGTTGCTGTGAAGAAGATATGGGGAGGGGTTAGGAAGGAGGTAGAGAGTGGGGATGTTGAAAAGGGTAGGGTTCAGGACAATGCTTTTGACGCGGAGGTTGAGACTTTGGGCAAGATCAGGCACAAGAATATAGTCAAGCTGTGGTGTTGCTGCACCACAAGGGATTGCAAGCTCTTGGTTTATGAATATATGCCTAATGGAAGTCTTGGTGATTTACTGCATAGTAGTAAAGGAGGGTTGTTGGATTGGCCAACAAGGTATAAGATAGCTGTGGATGCGGCAGAAGGCCTGTCTTATCTGCATCATGACTGTGTTCCCCCAATTGTTCATAGAGATGTGAAATCAAACAACATTCTATTGGATGGGGACTTTGGTGCGAGGGTGGCTGATTTTGGAGTAGCTAAGGCGGTTGAAACCACAGCAAAAGGAACTAAATCCATGTCCGTCATAGCTGGCTCTTGTGGCTATATTGCACCAGGTTAGTTAGCAGAATACATACATTTTTTTTTTAATTTTTTGTTGTTGTTGATGAATTTGAGATGCATTTAGTTTAGTAGTGATTACTTCTGCATTTGGGGCTTAACTCGTAGTATATGGCGTGGCGGGTCACTAGTAGTTTGATTGTTGGTCCATTACTTCTAGAACTAGAAGTGTGCGTCTTATCCTCCTCACGCCTTACAAATCACGACGGTAGTTTCCTGCATGGCAATTGTTTTTAATGTTTTTGTTGCTTAGTGACAAGTTGTTTGCTTTTGTTTGCTTTTTTGTTGGCATTATAGATCTTTGTACTGATATTGTGATTATAATATAGGTATAGGATATTACATGCTTTAGAAACAGGTTGTCTATCATCTTCTGAATTTCTTTTACAATCAAACATTGAAACTATTTCTTTGGAGCCAAACATGATCCTTTTCTCCTACTGCAGAATATGCATACACGCTTAGAGTGAATGAGAAGAGCGACATATACAGCTTTGGGGTTGTCATACTCGAGTTGGTTACTGGAAGACGCCCGGTGGACCCTGAATTTGGAGAGAAAGACGTAGTTAAGTGGGTGTGCACTACCTTGGACCAGAAAGGCGTGGACCATCTAATTGACTCAAGGCTTGATTCTTGTTTCAAAGAAGAAATTTGCAAGGTCTTCAACATTGGACTCATGTGCACTAGTCCTCTTCCTATTAACCGGCCTTCAATGAGAAGAGTAGTGAAGATGTTGCAAGAGGTGGGCACAGAGAACCAAACCAAGCCTGCCAAAAAAGATGGGAAGCTATCCCCTTATTACTATGACGATGCCTCGGATCATGGAAGTGTTGCTTAATGAATACTTGCAAAGGTTGGAGTATTTGATGATCCAGAAGGGGGAGTTCGAAGCTTCTCTTTTACTAAGCCAGCTTCCCTCCGTGTTTTCAGCGCACGCTTTACAAAGTTGACTAAAGAAAAGAGAATTAGAGAATAGGATTTTTCTTTTTGTGGGGGAAAATAGAGGCTTGAGGAAATTGATGTTTCTATAAAAGTATGTCCATATCAAGAAGCTTCCCTACCAAAATTAAATTGGCGTTTTCGCATTACAAACTTGTATCAGAAATCAGAAATGATATTTCCATCCTTCAAAAGTTCTTTTGTGAGTACATTTATTGGAAAGACTTTTAGCTGACACTGGCATGGGCCAGGGAAGTTTTAAAATTGCAACATCAATGTGACAATGACTTCCAAATCCTGTTTATATTTTCTATAACTTTTAAACTTTTGGTTCTAGGAGTGTGCTTTTGAACCTACGAAGAATCTGAAATGGGGAAATGAGAAACCACAATTAAGGTAAAGGACAAAAGCAGTTAAGCACCGAGCACTGTTTCCCCATTTAATAGCTTCGAAATTCTGTAAGCACACAGTATAATTATTTCAGTTCCCTCCTGTTAGGTGAATGTATAGCCTGCTCATGCTTAAATGCTTATAATTTTTTAGATGTTTCAGATTAAATGTTTTGACAGTTCTCAGCTTGAGAATTTACTTCTCACGGTGCTCAAACAAATGTGCTGGGTACAGCTATAAGATCTGAGTCAATGAGGTTGTTAGGCAGGCTTGTCTCTGGTCCCTCTCTTTAAATTACTGGTTTCATCCATTTGGGGCTAACTTCTATTTTATTTGTTAATAATTAATGCTGACTGGTTATTAAATATATCCGTTTGGAGACGTGGTTGTAGTGATATTTTTGCTGCAGCATCTAGCACAGGATTTTCACAAGTCTTTGCCAGTTCTTATTATATCCAGTGGTAATTTCTATGAGAGCCACTTTGCTGTCTGAAGGAAGGTAAACTAAATTATTGCAAGATTGATCTTTTAACCATTCCACCTTTTTAAAATTCTCTGTAGAGTAGCAAAGCACCCAACTAAGAAATGTGTACTGTTGTTATCACTGATTGTTGAGTTTCTTTGGCTGTGTTTTGCTTTGTTGTACGTGTCCTTAATTTCCCTGATGACTTGTTGCTACAATGCTCCATACTTCCTGCCAAATGCATTACAATTCACCCAGCTTTTTATGGATCTTGTTTAATGACTCCAGAAACGTGCCAATCATGCATGTAGTTTTGAAAATGCATGGGTCATTAATAATGTTTAGGTTGTAGGACCATGCTGTGATGAGATAGTTCAGTCGTTTACTATATGTCTATATTATTCGCAAAGGTACCTCTGCTATTTTTTTTTCCACGATGTTTTACCAAAATTTACTCATCCATACCATAGAATTCAAATTTTCTATCCAATAGTTTGGTTATTGAAATAAAATTATAACAAGTGGTTATCCTTTCACTCTCATTCTCATGAGTGGATGATGTCCATATCTATTGTGAAACTTCTATTGCATTTTCGTGAAGATCTTTTTTAAATCGACTCACCTTCCATGATATTCTTTTATTGGATTGTGAATTTTGACTTGTTACCCAAATGAATTAGTGTGATATGTAGATATATAGTTTCTCTAAGAAATTTTATGTAAAAAAAATAATTTTCCAAATTTTTCTTTTGCGAAATTTCTGCTGAAAAAAAAATATCCGAACATGTATAAATGAAAGTTTTCAACAACTTAGGATGAACTAATTCATGTGAATTCAGTTTATTCTCTTTTAAAGGCTTGGTCTCATGGAATTTGAATCTAACGTGGATAACGATTTGAGGATCTATTTCTTCTCTTTTTAACGAGACAAATGCTCTTTGTTTACCAAATAGTGAGAATTTATGTACCAACAACTTGGTGGAATTTTAATCTTAATCACACTCTCTTCAAAATTGGAAGAAGGTTGTTGAAGTTGGGTTCGTTTCCTGCTAAGGCATCCAAACAACTATGCCCATGTTGGGCTCAATTTAGTTTTTCTTATTCATTTTCTTTATACACTCCCATAATTTTTCCTGACACCCATGCGCTCCTTACTCCACACCCGCTTCACGTTACCTTAATACAAACATAGTTTTTTTTTTCAGCACTGATATTTTGTAGTGGTGTGGTGTGTATTGTATTCACCAAGCGTTAGCATTTAATAGATAGAAAGTAGGCTAAAATATATTCTAAAATTAGCGAACTTTGGTTTTGGTCATTATAATATATATATATATTTTAATTTTATAAAAATTGAATTGATCTCTTTTAATACTTATAAAATGTGTGATTTTTTTTTATTTTAATAGAAATTATTCATTTTAAATAGATAGATGACATTTACTTTACGAAACCTGAGAATCTTTCTTAAACTGATTCACATTTATATTTATATTATAGTACAACACTAATTACATCACTTGAAATTTTTATTTAACTTTAGGCTCAACACATAACTCAATAATTTGTATCACATAATGCTAGGGATCAAAAGTGACATCTTTAATTTTAAAAAACTAAAAAAAAATAATAATACAATATCTAAAATCAAGATTCACATATATAATTTATAGAGTGCCGCTCTTCTATTCCCTTAGATATTTTTTAAAGGTGCGTTATCTTATCTCTCGAATTAGCTATGGTTATTTTTCTCTTCTTCGTCTTAAAATTATTTTTTTTATCACTAATTTGGTAATATTATTTTAAAAACAAATTATAAAAAACTAAAAGCAGTCTTATATGAACCATTTATTGTAGATTAAAAAAATAATTCATATAAATACATTTTTTTATCTATTGTAAATTACAATTATATACAATAAATTTTTATAATGTAAATGGACAGTAGTTGTTACTTAAAACTTAAAAAAGGTGATTATTATCTTATCCACTCAATTTCCCCACAAGCACTCTGATAATCTTTTAATACATTATTATATTGATTGGATTATTTGAATAATTAAACTCTTAATTTAGTTAATTCAAGTTTAATTGAATTTTTATGATTACAGAATCATTGTAATATTGTGGTTGGACATTAGTAGGAATGCTGAAATTTCTTTTTTTTTATTAAACCTGAAAATGTTATTATCTTGACCATCACTGTAAGATATTACGAGTTCAATCTTAATTAAAGTGGTTAGTTCGATATAATCTTTTAAATTGATATAGGTAAGAGATTCTTTTATATTAAAATGAATTATAATTATCTGTTATTGATATCATCAAAGTAATTTATTTATTCCATATAATTTAATAATATTTTTTAAAATACAGTGTTAAGTAAGATTTACTTAATAAATATTTATAAAGGTATTTTTTTCCATTTTAGTCAATATTTTTATTGACTTTAATAAAATAATCTTTTAACTAATTTAAATTAATGTTTTTAATTGATGATAATAAGGATTATTTTTTATATTATTAAAATTATTTTTCTATTAATATATTAAGTTAATTTTTCAATTAATGTCACTTGGAATTTTTTTGACCACTTAGATAAAGACATTTGTCCTTTCTGTTTGACGTTTGTAGGTATCGTTTTTTCTAGATGTGTGCTAACAATTTTGTTTTTGGTACAAGCGTTAGTTTAAAGTTATTCAAGATTTTTTGTCCCAAAGACATAAAATAACACTAATTGAGATCAACAAAAATACTTGTAAACTGAAAAATAGTCCCAATTGATGTTAATTAAAAATATTTTTTATTGACATCAATTGAAAAAAAAATAAAAAGTCTTTGATCCAAAAATATTTTAATATATTAATTAATAAAAAATATAAATTACTAATATTTTAATATTATAATAACTTTCATGTTTAAAAATATTTTAAAATATACCATTCAAAACTATTAAAAATCTATAAAAAGAGAGAAGAAGGGTATAGCAGCGACGGTGGGATGCGGTAACCATCAGATTCCATTTTAGGATTTCGAATGGAGGTGTTGTAAAAGAAAGAGATTAGAGATTAGAGACCATGTTGATTGTTTTTCCTTGCAAAAATAAATATGGAGGAAACACTTAATGATTTCATTTTGAAGAAGAAGAAAAAGCAACTGTTAGACCATGAAGGTTTTTAACATTTTTTATTCCATTTGAGAAAAATTAAAAATTAAAATATGGATAACATGTCAACTACGAGTAAACAATGCATATGCTACGGTTGAATACTGTAATGCCCCAGTAGGAGGTTGCATAAAAAAATAAAACTTTGAAGTATAAATAGTATACATTGTACTTTCACATACAAAAAAATCCACACAATTATTCCTGTTTCTCTCTCGTCGAGCTACTCCAAACCAACATCATCTGCACACCAATTACTTTCGTACAAGTACGATCATCGCAGGAAGAAACCTCAGCCACAATATTCAAGGGTGAGCTACCAGAAAATATCTTATAATATAACATGGCATAAAATAAAATTTACACCCAAACTAACTAGTCAAAAGATCACTTATATAACACAACATAAACTCTTCACACACATATCAAATGCCCTTTAGTGGACCAATCTTTCTTACGTTTCGTTATCACAACCTACTCTCAATAGCAGCGATTCGAGTCGTCTTTCGTCGTAACTTTAGACCTATCTTTCCTGACTCCTCAAGGACTAACGAGTAAAATCACTGATACTACATGCATCAGTGCACTATAATCAGCACGAGCCATCCACCTCCTCACGCAGAAGGAAGTGACACTCGAATCTTTGTTCTCTTGAAAACTCAAAACTATAACCGTAACAAAATACTCTCGCGTTCGAAGAAACTATTAACAATTAACTTAGTCTACGTATACTACACCAACAACTTAATTAACTATACTCAATCACGAACTTATACATGTTCTCAATAACACGTATAATTCAACTAAGAGTAGACCAGATAAGATAATCGTGCTCAATCACGACTCATACATTTTTCTCAATAACATGTACAATACCAAGCAACAATAGTAAGCCTAACGAAATAACCTTGCTCAATCACAAACGCATACATGTTCTCAATAACATGTATAAACTAACCGAAAGTAGGTTAAATAAATTAACCAACAATTCCAGACACGACAACCGTGCTCAATCACGACTCATCCATGTTCTCAATAACATGTATAATACCAAACAAAAATAGGATTAACAAAATAACTGTGTTAAATCAAGAACCTATACATGTTCTCAATAACATGTATAACTCAACCAAAAGTGTGTCACACAAGATAACTATACTCAGTCCAAACTCGTACATG